TGCCTAGCAATTAGTGATTTCTCTACAGAAGTGTGTTAGATGAGTGAATTAATAAGTTAATATGTGAGAGCCTATAGATTGTTGCTGAGTTTTAGAGGGAAGTTGTTTGTTCAATCCAGGTTCCTCACAATTCTTCTAATCTCTCATGAATGAAGGCAATATTGAATGCCTTTGGGGTTGAACCAAATTTCTAGGCCTAACCTACATTAGTGATCAAAAGAGGCTATAAAGACATAAATACTTATTACATCGATGCAAAAGCTCATGTATAAATGCCAAAAGCATTGGGGGAAATAGTGAGGGATGATATAAATGGTAAGGTCTAAAGCTCCATAAAATTACTTCTTTAAAAATATATCTTTCATTCATGAAAATGTTTACTATTGCCCACCCCGTGCCAGGATCTGGGCTGGGTGCCAAGGACACAGATGAGTAATGCCTGCTGTCATGGAACCAACAGTTTAGTGGAAGAACTGATGCTATAGAAGACAAGTCCAAAAAATCTGCCCAGAGAGTCAGCCTGGGGTACTCAGCAATCTCCTGAAGATACTTGCCTTATGTTCAGACTCCAGTGAAGTCATCACCACCTAAACCCTTCCTTCTCCATTAAATAACCTTTCTACCAATTGCATTTCTACATATTAGAAATAAACTATTAAAAATTTGAACTTAAAGACGCTGAAAATAGCATAAAAATTTAATTTCTGTTCTTTCAAGTATAGCCATTATGAAAAAGAAAATGGAGGTTACTCAAAAATTAAGGATAAATCTGACAAAAACCATGTAAGACCCGTACATGGACAACTATAAGTCATCAGAGAGAAAGGCAGGTGTGGTGGCACATGCCTGTAATCCCAGCAGCTCTGGAGGCTGAGACAGGAAGATCACAAGTTTAAAGCCAGCCTTAGCTACTTAGTGGATTCCTAAGGAACTCAGCAAGACACTGTCTCTAAATAAAATATAAAAAGGGCTTGGGGGAACTGGGGCTGTGGCTCAGTGGGAGAGCACTCTCCTAGCATATGTGAGGCCCTGAGTTCGATCCTCAGCACCACATGTAAATAAATAAAATAAAGGTATTGTGTCCACCTACAACTAAAAAACAAATTTAAAAAGGTGTGGGGGAGGGAGACTGGGGGATGTGGCTCAGTGGTTAAGTGCCACTGGGTTTAATCCCTACCAAAAAAAAAAAAAAATCAGTGAGAGGAATCAAAGGAAATCTGAATGAAAGGAAATATACGGTGTGTTCATGAATCAAAAGATTTGGTATTGATGGAAATTCCCTTTAGTTATATTTAGAGATTAAATATAACTCTAATCAAATCTGCATACCTTATTTGTAGAAATAATTAAGCTGATTCTTAAATTAAAGGGACTTTAGAATAAAAAAAAAATTTGAAGAACAAAACTGGAAAACTCATACTATCTCGACTTACTATAAAGTTAGTAACCAAGGCAAGATGGTATTGGTATAAAGACAGACAAATTGAAAAATGGAACAGAACAGAATCCAGAAATAGACTAACACATATATTATTATTATGTGTTAATTAATTATTTACAACAAAAGTGAAGTATTTGATGGAAGAAGAATCTTTCCCATAAATGATATGAAACAACTGTATATTAACTTGCAAAATAAATGAAACTTGATTCTTAAGTCTCATACCATATTTTAAAAACCAACTACTCAAAATGGACTATAGACATAAATGTAAAATCTAAAACTTTGAAACTTCAAGAAGAAAATACAGGAGAAAATCTTTGTGATGTTAGGCAAGACAAAGATTTTTTTAAAAGATAGAATACAAAACAAACTATAACAACAAAACTGGAAAAAATAATAATTTCTGTACTTTCAAGTATAGCCATTATGAAAAAGAAAATGGAGATTACTCAAAAAATTAAAAGTAGGACTATTATACAATCCAGCAACCCCATTACTAAGAATATATCTGAAATCAGTATGTCGCAAATATACCCTGCACTCCTGTATTCACTGCAAATTATTCACAATAGCTAAAAGATAGAGTCATCCTTTGTCCATCAATGGATGAGGAGATAAGAAAAATGTGGTTTATATGCACAGTGGAATATCACTCCAGCTTTAAAAAGAAGTACACCTTATTATTTACAGCATGGTTGGATCTGAAGGACATAAGTGAAAGAAGCCAGGCCAGAACAACATATATTGCATGATCTCTCATAGATGCATAATCTTGAAAAAGCAAACTTCCAGAGGCAGAGTAGAATGGTGGTTCCTAGGAGATGAGGGGAAGGAGCAGGGTTGGAGAGGTATTGATCAAAGGATACAAAATTTTGTTTAGACAGGAGGAATAAGCTCAAGAGTTCTGTTGTACAACATGGTAACTATAGTTAGTTGTATTCTTATATTGTTGCAAATCAATAAAAGAGTAAATTTTAAGTGTTCTCACTCTAAAAATGGTAAGTATGTGAGGTAATGCATAGGTTAGGTAGGTTAATTTAGCTATTCAACAATGTACACATATTTCAAATCATCCTGTTGTACATGACAAATACATATAATCTTTCCCTATTAATTCAAATTATCAAAAAGAATTTAAATCTGCTGTTCCAAAGATACTCTTAAGAAAATGAAAAGATAAGGCAGATTGGGAGAAAATACTACAAAGTTAAGAAGTAACCTGTAAACTAAGAAGAAAATACTTGAAGTACATACATATAGAGGCCTCATCTCTTTAATGTAGAAAGGGCCATTTAAAACTATTAATAAAAAACACAATCCAACAGAAAAATGGGCAAGGACACGAAAAGAGATTCCCTCCAACAGAAATATAAAAGACAATAGTCATATGAAACTGAGATTAATCTCACAATTAATGCAATGCAAACTAAAACAAAATGTCATCTTATAAAGAATATTTGGCACAGAAATGTTCATAATACAAAAAATGGAAAATACTGCAAAGCCCACCAAGAGAGGACAATTAAATACATAGGTACAGAAAACACAAATACTATGTACCAATTACAATTTAAATGCTGGTTTCACCCATGTTGATATCACATTAAAAGTAATCTATGGCATATAGTTGTGTAAGGGAAAACATTTCAATCTGTATAACAAGAGCGTTAATCTGAAAGTATACATTTTCATCTATTTGTGAGTAAGTGTACAGAGATAAATGTTGGAAAGAAAACTCACCAAAATAGTAGCAGTGATTGTCCCTGGGAGAGAGTTCAGGTGACTTTAACTTTATTTTTACATTGTAGCATCCTTTAAATAAACTACAATGAGCACATACTTCTATTGTTAAAAAAAGCTAAATTACTTTTACTTAAAAAAAAAAATAAGATGTTTCAATGCAAAATTTCAACAACAACAAAATTAAAAAGGGCATCAAGTTGCAGCCAGACAAATGGCCAGACAGGCCAAGGCCCTCTCCTTGGGGCTGCACCTTCCTCTGACCAGCACTGGACACATGGGAAGACAACTAAGTGTACACTATCAGATACACAGGCAAAGCTAGGTACAGAAGGACAGAGTTCACAGAGGGTTTGGAGGGTGAGGATGACTCAGTGAAAACATAGGTTCTACCACATTAACAGTGGTGATGTCAGGACAAATCACCTCAATATCCTTCTTTGTAGACCAGGGTAATAACTTGTCTCTACCTCTTGGGGTGTGAAGTTTAAATGAGATACACATGTGAGCTGGGCATGGTGATGTACACTGTAATGCCAGCAACTTGGGGCGAGGGGGGATGACAAGGGGGGTTAGGGGGTGGGGGTAGGGGGGCAAGGCAGGAGGATTGCAGCCTAGGCAACTTAGCAAGACCCTGACTCAAAGTAAAATAAAAATTTTAGAAAGGGCTAGGGATGTAGCTCAGTGGTAGAGTGTTTCCTCAGTGTGTGCAAGGCCCTGGTTTCAATCCCCAGTACCATGAAAATAAAAAGCTACATATGTGACACTTTCACTTAGGGCTTAGCCCATAACGTGCACTTAAGATCAGCTGTTTATATTATTACCTGGGACATTTGTGACAGTTGTTCACATTGCCACCACTCTATTTGCCATGATCCAGGGTCATGGAACAGAGTATAAAGAAGGAACTTCAAACCTCAGAGAATCCCAACATCAAGTTTTGGACAACAAAACCTATTGTTCTCTATCCCTACGGAACTTTCTTAGAAGCAGCAGGCAAAGAGGATGGCAGCCAGCTAGAGAGGGGAGGATGACGACAAAGCAAGGGCCTAAATAATTTCCTGTGCTACCCACTGTGTCATCCTCTCCTCCCAACTTCCCTCCCATGTTGCCTGGGATCTTCCCCCACACAACACTATGTCAGGATTCCAGAAAGACTGATCAATTGCTATATCCCTTTCTCTGCAAATAAGGGACCTGAGGGCCAGAGGCAAGAACCCTACCTAGAACCAAGCAGTCAGCAAGCCTCTCAACCAGAGGGTCCCCTCCTGTGCTCGTCCTTCCCTCTGCTGGCTGCTTCTTCACAAGTTCTCATTTCCCCTACTTCCTCCCCCTACTTCATTACCTGTTGGGATTCTTCAAGGCCCCTTCTCTTCTCTGGCAGCCCTAATGGTCCTTTATGTCCCTCCCTGTGGTGAGAGAGGAACTGAACTGGGACTTTTCTGACTCGAAGAATAGTACACTATAAGAATGTTTACGGCTGACACTAAGCAAAGACCAACAGAGCCATCCCTCTTCTAATAGGAAGGAAGCACAAACCGTGGCATGAAATGAGAAGGTGGGGCAGGATGGAAGAGTTATGAGTTATTCTTACCCTCAATGACACTGGAGGTTTCCTTGAAACTCCTAGGAAAGGAATACCTCAGAAGAGAGGGGTACTAGCCAAAGGAACCAGCAGAGTCTGTGTCCTAGGTCTTAAATGCAACCAAGATGTAGGTAGGGTAGGCAGGAGTGAGAAAGGATGTGGAGTGTGAATGGAAAAGCATTTTTCTAGGATGTGGTCCTGACTCTGGGCAGTGGCCAGGCTGGGGCTTACCTTAGGCAGGCTTACTGGAGTCCTGGGCTTGGTTCTAGGGTTCTTAATCAAGAGTCTCTGATCCAGGGGGAGCAGATGGTATTTCATGGCCTCGATGAGGAAGTCCTTACAGGTGTTGTTATTCTTTATCAAAGCCTCTTCTTCAACTGTCTGGAGGTAACAATCCACAGGTAACACTGGAACAGAGCCTGGCCCCATTTCTCAAGCCCTGTCTCTGGGGTGGGTCATTCCTGCATTCTCTCATTCATTTCTGTATCATCTCATCTTACACCCAAAGAGAAAGATCCACAGAGTTACAACTTAGTGCTCACCTCCTGGATTTTAAGAGCACAGGATTAAGTGATCAAGCTCTGGCCTAAGACAGGGATGCAAATCCCAGCTGCACCACTCATCTCTGATCCTCAGTTTTCTCATCTGTAAAACAGGTATATTAAAAGCACCTAAAACCCCATTAGTTTTGTTTGCTTTTACATTGAGGTTTAGATGAATTTATGCAAAATAAAAAATAAGGAGTTGCCTGAAAATCTCTTCCCACATTCCTCTTGGTTTGAATGCTTTATAATGTATAGGGCAAATGGTCAGAGATCTGAGAGAAGAGAGAGAGAGGGAGGAAAAGAAGAAAGAAGACAGGATCCAAGGGCCAAACTTTGAAGGCACTGGTAAAATAAGATGGTCAAGATGGTCATCCATTTTCTTATAGTAAAAGTTTCAGGGAGAAAACTGGCCAGTGAGGCTCTAACTGAGTACTGACACTAGAGCAGAAAGAATGTCCTATACAAAATCCCATCTACTGACTTCATCTGATACCCCATCTACACTGGGATGTCGCTTCTCTACCTGGTATTCAGACCTCAGGACCTAAGCAGGACTTCAGCAAATGCAAGCCTACATGCACCATGAGTAGGCAAGAGTACATTCTGGTACTCTGGCTCTTAAATAGCATCTCTTCAGCCCAGCTCACATCACTATGTGACATATCTGGAATGAACACCAGGGTCTTCTGAGGCCACTTGATGGTGGGAAACATCAATTCCATTCAACAGCTAACACTGATTGGATGTCTCCTGGTTGGGCAGCCCTGTGCTGACCCCCAGGAAGAAAATGATGACTAAGACAAGGTTTCTGACCTCAGGATTGGACCTGATTAAAGTCCAATCACAGAATGAGAAAGGGCTCCCACTTCAATCATCTCAACCCTCCAAACAATCAGCCCAAGGCCTGGCTGAGCCTCTCCTGGGACCTCATCTATTGCTAAGAATGAAAATAGGGCCAGGGTCATCATCCACTGGGCAATGCTGGAGCTGGCAGGAAAAAGAAGAATTGGCAAGTCAAAGCCTCTGCCACCTCTGGGCATCTTCTTCCTCAAGAAAACTCCCTACAGCCTTGAAAGATTTTTTTTTAACCTTCCCATTAGGGGCCTAACCCAGGATGGTACAAATCATAAATGTGGGGGGGTTAAAAAATAAAAGGGGTGGGAGAAAATCTCTAGAAAAGCTAGGGAGAAAGGAAAATTGCTCAAGCAGCTACTTTTCCCAAAGAATTCATTCAGCTTGAACTAAAAGCTCCCCTCTAGAGAGTTCATAGGTACAGAGTTTCAATGTGGGATGATGAAAGTTTTGGAAATGGATATGGTGATGGTTGTGCAGCACTGTGAATATAATAAATGCCCTGTATCATATACTCAAAAACACTCAAAATCACAAAGTTTGACAGGCATGGTAGAACACACCTATAATCCCAGTGGCTCAGGAAGCTGAGGTAGGAAGATCAAGAATTCAAAGCCAGCCTCAGCAACTAAGCAAGGCCCTAAGCAACTCAGAAAGACCCTGTCTCTAAATAAAATATTTTAAAGGGCTAGGGAGGTGTCTCAGTGGTTAAGCACCTCTGGGTTCAATCCCTGGTACAAAAAAAAAAAAAAAGAAATCACAAAGTTTATGTTAAATATGTGTATGTGTTTATTATCAAAACACAGCATGTTATAAATTTAGAATATCTAAAAATGCTTAGTAAAAGCCTAATTAACTTTAGCTATTGTGAGGCACAGATGCCAGGCAGTGTTGGTTGCAAGAGTTTTCCCTCTCTCCCTTCCTCTTGCATCATGGTCAGCCATCCCCAGCAGGTCTGAAGTTTCAAGGGCAAATGAATGCTGAGGAAACATCCTTTCCCAAAAGTGTTCACCCTGTGAGGCCTAATAAAAGTCCTTTTAGAAAAGGAGTCCCACACAACAGTTCTCACACCCAGTGCCTTTGACCTCCTCCTTTTCCAGGTCCAGACCATATTTTGCCATAATAATCCAGGAACTATCTCCTAATATCTTCGTTAAGTTTCAGTGGTGGACACTTAATGGAGGTTTCTAAGTCCCCTTTACCTTTCACTGGAACCCAGGTCCCTGGCTGCCCACCTGCTTTCAGTCAGTTTCCCACAGGACAGTGGGAAGACCTACTGTGACAATGAGAGGCAAGTTCAGTCCCTCTGCTTCCCTTTCCTACAGCAGGGATACCATGCCACCAGGTGGCACTAGTATCCTCCAAGGTAGCATGCAGGGCCCTTATAGAGGCTTCAAGGGTGTCCCTCAGGGCTGCAAACAAGGCTGAGGTGTACAGATTCAGAAGACATTATACTGACGCCTTAGGCCTATGGCAAGCAGCGTCAGGAGCAGAGGACTTTACAAGTGCTCACAAGAACAGCATGGTACTCGTAGTCCCAAGGACAGTGGTAATATTAACTAGTATTCACTGATCACTGTGTGACAGGCTTTATGTGGGCCATCTCATTTTGCTCCAAACAATCCTACCAGGGCAAGTGCTATTTTGACCAGATGAGAAAACTGAGGTTTCAAGGGGTTAAGTATGGCACAGGGTAACAGGAGCTGGCTGTCAGACTGCTAAGCCTCCTCATTTATTCTTGCATCATACTTTTCTTTCCTTCCAGAGACCCTCCAGGACAGCTGAGGGGTGGCCTACTTCCTCGATGTTTAGTTTGGTTCACATATTTTAAGCTTTGACTCCCTGCTTGTAAGAGTATCTAATGCCATTTACTGTTCAAAATGAGCCATGTAATGGGGAAATGGAATAAAGAGCAACAAAGGTGGCAGCTGGCAGAACCGTGTGCCTCAGAGTCTGGCTGCTGTGCATTTGAATCCTGACTCTCCCCAGGTGGTTGGTGACCCCTGAGGGCAACCCAACCCACAGCCTCAAGGGCCAAAGTGGTAGATAGAGTGTTGTAATATTTGCCTCACAGGCTGATTACAAGGTTTAAGTAAGGAAATAGGTGGCACTATAGGGACATCCCATAATTTTAAAATTTCCTTTCCTTTCTTGGAAGAAGTAGAGGTAGTCTGTGTTCTAGGCACCTGCGAAAAGCTGATTTTCACAGTCCTGAGTTGGGCTCCAACTTGTTTAGAGCAGAAGGGTAACATAGAAATATTATGAAAATGACTCTTCTGGCTTTGGGCATCTACAGGGAAAGCAGCTAATTTTATAGAACACTTGTTAAGCCAGGCTTCAGGCTTACATACTGACAACTTGTTTCTGGAAGGAAATACTGAGGCTTGAATAAAAACTCAAAACTAGTAAGTAGTGGAGCATGGACTGAAACCTACACAGCTTATCCTCAAACCTATGCTTTTAAGCTCTACTTCAAACTTAACCCAGTTGGTTGGTGCCCCCAACACACACAGAAGATCTATTGATTTCAACTATGCCATGCAACCAGAGTGGCCTCTGCTATCCCTTGAGGCTTTGGTGGACAGGCCAGCACACACCTGCACTAGATAATCCCTGGGCAAGAGAGGGAGTCGGACGTGTTCCATCAGTTTTGCCATATGCTCTAAACGGGTCTCTTTCTCATAATTGATCCAGGAAATCACAGCTTCAAACACCTATAAAGAAAAGAAGGAACACTTTCAAATAACTTGCTCAATCTATAAAAAGAAAAAAGTTATAATTCATCTGCAAAAGTGTTTAACATAAGATTCAACGTTTAAAATAAAACAAAAGCTTTTTTATTATATGTTCTCAAGAGTGAATACGCACATATATGCCTGCAATAAACCTGCTCTCCCCAATGTAGAATCATCGTGGTTCATTCTAAAATAAAAATCAGTTCCAATAGTTATTTAAGGGTAGAAATACAGAGCAATAACTGTGAACCAAATGTTTAAAGGTGGCTGCAGAGGACCAGATGTCCTGGGGGCAATGCCACACTCCTCCAGCATTGCTCTCCTCTCTAATCTCCCTTGCACATTCAGTGCCAAATGAAAATTGTAAGAAGGCCTTCTGCCTGCAGCTGGCTGTGATGATGACTGTGACACCGAACACAGAGAAGGGCAGACATTTCTCCTTGGATTTAACTTCTCTCTTGAGGAGAGATTTCATTTCTATGTAAATCAAAACTGGAGGGCTTGGAACCAAAAAAAGGATAGGTGGTTTGGATGTTTATTTTGCTCAAAGCTAAGTCTAAATTCAAACTCTGCACCACCATGCACAGACAAGGAAAAAAAAAAAAGTGTTGGTGAGGCTGTGGGGAAACCAGTAATGTCAGTGGAAATTTACTAGATAAATATGGCTTTTTAAGAGAAGAGGGAAGAATTTGGCAATATCAATCAAAAGTGTAAATGTGCATATTGTGACCTAGAAATGCCACTTCTAGAGCCCTAGACTACAAAAACACTCATAGAAGAGCACAAGAACAACAAGTGTCCAAGATGTTTGCTGCAGCACTTTCATAAAAGGACAAAAAAGGAACAACCTAAAGTCCACTAACAAAGAAGTTATTAAAATATCATCTCTATTATTGGTTTCAGTTTTCAAAAAGAATAAAACAAGATGCCTTCTTGTACATGAAAACAAGAAAGTGCTCTCAGAAACTATGGTATACACACTGGAATATTTCTCGGCATTAGAAGAAAATAAAATTATGGCATTTGCAGGTAAATGGATGGAGTTGGAGAATATCATGTTAAACCAATCCCCCCCAAAAAAGGCCAAATGTTCTCTCTGATAATGGTGGAAAGTGGGCGGGGGTGCACATGTTGGGAGAATAAAGGAACTCTGGGAAGAGGGGAGGGGGTATGGGAGAAGGAAAGATGGTGGAATGAGATGAACATTACCCTAAGTACATGAATGATCACACATATGATGCGACTCTACATTGTGTACAATCAGAGAAATGAAAAGTTGTGCTCCCTTTGTGTACAATGAATCAAAAAATGCATCTAATTAGAACAAATTTTAAAAGGGGAAAAAAGTGCTCTCAGATTAAAGAGGACATGCCAGAAGGACACAGAAATAACTGGATGGGATCTTCACTGCCAACACTTGGAACAACTCAAACATCAAAGAGAATAATGAAAAAATGAGATCAGGGCTGCTCTGGTGGGGTGAGATTTCAGGAAATGACTAGGGAAGAGGCCAAAGATTTTTGGAGGTTATAGATATGTATCTTTATAGGGTAGACACTATATGTCATACACATTTGTCAAGACTAATCAGATTGTACCTTAATATCTGTACATTTCACTGTGTGCAAACCATACCTCAACAGAATCTTAGTTTTTAAAATATAGTAATGGATTACAATACAATAAATTTTCTAAAGAAACCATTAATTCCTAGGATAATTTGAAAAGTATCAGAAGGGCTCTTCTTTAGAAAAGTGGTAAATGAGAAGGAATGACAAAATTAGAAAAACAGTATTTTGCAAAAATCACCAATGTGATAACTGATTCAGCAAGGATCACCAATGAAAGCTAGAATCAAAAGTTTTTGTGAAACAAGAAACTCACAAACTATCATCCCAAAGATTTATTTACACAGCGGGGGAAAGATACCCTCAAACAGGAGAACAGACGAATGTCACCTTAAACAAGGGATCAAACTTACCACCAATAATAGGACAAACTTATATTCCTGATTGTGATTTAATGGAAAGGACACAGTACCCCCAATGTGTATTTTTACGATAATGTTTAACCTGAATGTTATAGTACAGAGACAATCAGACAAATCAGTTTGGAGCCTCTACAAGATGGTTGGGCTGAATTCTTCAAAATGTAATATAATGAAAAACGAAAAAGAATCAGAGGGATGGTTATAGATTAATGAGATTTTGAGACATGATAACTAACTACCATACACAAACCTTTGGATTATGGATTTAAAAGAAATAGGGGGACCATTAGGAAAATCTGAATACTGATTATTTGGTAGACAACACTTATGTTATCAATGTTAAATTTCTTTGGCATAAAAATGATTTTATGGTTAGAAAAAAACGTCTGGGAGGTGCATACTAAAACATTTAGGAGTGAAGTATCATGTATCTACAATTTACTGCTAAATGGTTCATCAAAATGAGACATCAAGTCTGTAGAGAGAAAAATAAAGCAAAATATTAACAAGTGAATCTCAGTAAAAAGTATGTAAAGTTCTTTCATACTTTACAATATGTTCGAAGTTTTCAAAATAAAAAGTGAAGAAAAAAAGATAAATTATAAGGGAAAATGATAGATGGGGCAATAAAATTTACAACCTGACATAAAGTTGAAATAAAAGCTTATCTACTAAGAGAAAAAAAAATTCCAATTTCTCTTAACTTATTTTTTCTTTATGTTTGCTACATTAATAATGCTTTGTACCTAAAATTCTTAGTTCTATTTCCTAGATACACCTTAAGTCTGAACAGGCATAACTTTTTTTTTTGAGAGAGAGAGAGAGAGAATGTGTTAATATTTATTTTTTAGTTTTCAGCAGACACAACATCTTTGTTTGTATATGGTGCTGAGGATTGAACCCAGGCCACATGCATGCCAGGCGAGTGCGCTACCACTTGAGCCACATCCCCAGCCCAGGCATAACTTTAATTGGGCAAGGAATCATAAAGTTGTCAGAAAGGTAAAAAGGGGAACAGAGACAAATGGTAAGGAGAGGTTGATCAGTGGATACGAAGCTAGATTGGAGTAAGAAACTCTGGTGTAGCAAGCACTATACGGTAGGGTGACTATCAATAATGGACTATACATTTCAAAAAGCTAGAGAACAGGGCTGGGGATGTGACTCAAGTGGTATTGCACTCACCTGTCATGTGTGAGGCACTGGGTTCGATCCTCAACACCACATAAAAATAAATAAGTGAAATAAAGGTATTGTGTTCAACTACAACTAAAAAATAGATTAATTTTTATAAAAAGCTAGAGAATAGGATTTTGAATCATAAAGAATCATAAAATTTTGAATCATAACGAAAAGATACTTTGAGGAGACATGGAAGTTTACCCTGACTTAAACATTATACAATGTATACATGTTTCAAAACATCACATGGCTTGCCATAAATAATTTTTTTTTGTTTTTATGGAACACAGCAAAAGGAAAGGAGCAATGTGTGTGCATATGTGTGTGTGTGTGTGTCTGTCTATGTAGTTGGCTCACATTTCTGAATAAAATAACCTATATCTTGATATAAGCCTATAAACTCAATGGAAATCCTCCTTGCCTAGAACATTTCAAAAATACAAACTTTCCTATAATTATGGTCCTTACCCTCATAGCATTGTTTTGTCAATGTATTTTCCCCACCAGCCCTTTATTAAAAGATCCATGAGAACAGGGACCTTGTCCTATTTTCTGGCAATAATATATATTCAAATACTATTTTAATGAATGAATGGACACATAAGTTCTTAATAAGTCAGTAGGGAGTAGGGTGGGACCTGCCCAAGCTACAGCAGAGAGCATGACTGGGAACGCGGGGCTGGAACCTTGGCGAGGAGGGCAGAGCTGGAGGCTGATGGAGAAGCTGGCCTTGTTGAAGGAGGAGATGGGTGGCCACATTAATATTCTGCCTTGCATATGGTTATCCACACGTCTTCCTACTCCCCAGACCAAAAGCTTTTGCAGGAGGAGAAGGGTATTTGCTCTGTCTCTGGGCCTCCTTCCCACACACTGCCAAGTAAAGCTCCAAGTGGCTGGCCAACAAAGCTTTGCTGAACAATGAAGTACAAGTCCTTGAGTAGTAGGGTTGATTTATTGATCACATTCTTCCCCCATCAACCAGCTTAATCATTCTATAAAAGCTAAAAAGCAAGCTGAGTCTACCAAAGTCGATATTTAACCTTATCTCCATTTTTGGCTTGACTAGTCTAACAGGTTCCGCTTAGTTGCACTGTTTACCTACTCAGCCATGAAAAGCCACAGCGGTCAGCAATAACAGTGACCTTCTAGCAGCTAGAGAAGGCCACATATGTATATATATATTTTTTTTCATTTAGATTCCATGTTTGAAAAAGAAACAAGCAAATAAACATTTAAATAGCTTTCCTTCAAAGTATCCAATGTCATTCCCAATAGCCCTTCCCATAAAGGACTCTTTGTAGACATTATCTTCCTGAATTCTCATGATAATCCAATGATTAGTTTCTCTTACCCTTTATAAAGTGATTTGCCCAAGTCCCAGAGCTAGAAAAGAGGCAGAACAAACCTAGCTCTAATGATACTCTTAGCTGCCTCTCAAATGTCTACTAGCAGGGGTTGATATATTACAGCCCAGGAGCCAAATCCTGCACCTGCTTTGGTAAATAAAATTATACTGGAACATGGCCATACTCATGTGTTTACAGACCATCTGGGCTGCTTTCTTGCTACAACAGCAGAGCCGAGAATCTATTAACCAACAAAACTAAAATATTCACTATCTGGACCTTTGTTGGAAAATTTTGTTAACTCCTGCTCTAAAATCTAAGTAGGGAAGGATGATGTTCTCTCAAATGATAATACCTTTCGTGGATCCCATGAGAAAATAATCAGCTACCCACAAGACAGGCTTGGGGTTTCACTTTCAAACAAAGAAATAATATCGTTTCCTCACTCACAATTTCTTGGG